ATCCATCCATATATCCACATTTATCTACCCACCCACCTGTCATCCATTGCACAAATATCTGTTTTCTAACCTGACATGTGCCATGTGCTATGCTGGGCTCTGAGAATATGACAATCAACCAGAGAGACGTGATCTCTGCCCAGAGAGGTAGACAGATAAAAAATTAGTAAACACACGGATAAAACAATGGCAACTTTAAGTATTGTGTTCAGGAAGGTGAAGTTTGAGCTGCCACCTGAAGGACCATGAGCAGCCTAGTGAAGAGCTGTGGTCAGAGCCTTCCAGGCAGGGGCACAAGAATGTGCAAAGGTCCTGAGACAAGAAAGGACTTGATGTGTCAAAAGAGCAGAAGTAGATCAGGGAGGGCAGAGAGAAGCAGGGGCACATCATGGAAGGGTTTTAAGCTGGAGAGTGATGTGACATGATTTGAACGTTCTGGCTGTTGTGTGGAGAATGGATTGTGGGGTGCAGCAACAGAAGAGGGAATATCTGTGAGGTCCTATGTCCAGCAAACTTAAGAGTAGTGGGTTACCTTGGCGCCCTTCCATCTCCTTCCCCCAGGCCCCTGTGGCTTGTCCAAGAGAGGGTGCTCTGTGCCCTGTCCTGAGCCCTTCTAATTTTTGGAGAACAGGGAGCTTGTCCAAACATTGCCATCTGGGTGCCTGGTGATTTCTGTACAAATGCTCTTGGAGATATCTGGGAGGAACAATGGAAAGCACAATAGATGGAAAGAAGGGAAGGTGGCTGGAAGGATAAAAGGATGGATGGATGGATGGATGGACAGACGGATGGATGGACGGATGGACGGATGGATAGATGGATGGATGGATGGATGGATGGATGGATGGATGGACGGATGGACAGATGGATGGACGGATGGATAGACGGATGGATGGATGGACGGATGGACAGATGGATGGACGGATGGATGGACAGATGGATGGGTAGATGGATAGATGGATAGATGGATGGATGGACAGTTGGATGGGAAGGATCAAAGAGTGACTGAACAGATGCCTGGATGGTTGGGCAGATGGGAGGAAGGAGGGACAGAAAGGACTCATTCATTTATCCATCAAATTTTGAGAACCAACCAGGCCAGGTGTATTATTCAGGGTCTCCAGAGAAAGAGAACCAGTAACGTGTATTATATCTAGAAAGAGATTTATTGTAAGGAATTGGCTCATACAATTATGGAGACTGACAGGTTCCAAGATCTGTGGTCAGCAAGCTGGAGACCAGGAAAGCTGATGGTATAGTTTGAATCTGAGTCTGAGTCTGAAGGACTGAGAGCTAAGAGTATAGTTTCAGTCTGAGGTCTGAGACCTGGAAAGACCTGACATTTCAGTTTAGGCTGAAGGCAGGAAAAAAGGTGATGTCCCAGCTCAGAGACAGTCAGGAGGAATTACCCTGTGGTTGGGGGAGAGTCTGCCTTTTGTTTGATTCATGCCTTCGACTGATTGGATGTGGCCCACCTATATTATGGAGGGCACTTTGCCTGACTCAGTTTATTGATTTAAATGTTAGGGGCGCCTGGGTGGCTCAGACGGTTAAGCGTCTGCCTTCAGCTCAGGTCATGATCCCGGGGTCTTGGGATCGAGCCCCACGTCGGCTCCCTGCTTGGCGGGAAGCCTGCTTCTCCCTCTCCCTCTGCCTGCCACTCCCCCTGCTTGTACTCTCTCTGTGTAATAAAAAAAAATCTTAAATGTTAAATTCAGGGGTGTCAGGGTGGCTCAGTCAGTTAAGCATCAAACTCTTGATTTTGGCTCAGGTCGTGAACTCGTGGTTGTGGGATCGAGCCCCGCGTCAGGCTCTGCGCTCAGCATGGAGTCTGCTTAAGATTCTCTCTCCCTTTCCCCCACCCCCCTCCCCCGCTCTCTCTCTCTCTTTCTAAAATAAACAAATCTAAAAAAATGTTAAATTCATCCAGAAACACGCACAGAAACACCCACAATTATGTGAGACGAAATATCTCAGCATCCCTCAGCCTAGTCAAATCAACACCAAATGACCCATCCACCGGGCCTTCAGCATGCCTAGTGAATGAGACATGGGTCCCTGCTCTCAGGGAGCTCAGGATCTTGCAAGGGAGACACACAGATTATAGCATCTGAGTGTGACCTAGAAGTTTTGTGCTGGTCTCTCAGAGGAAGGAGTGATAGATTTGGTCTGGGGGTGGGGAATGTGGGAAGGGAGGGATATGGGAATTCAGGGAAGACTTCCCAGAGGTGGTGACATGTGAACCAGGCCCTAAAGAATCAGTAAAGACTTTTGCTGTGCAACATTTGCCCAGCAAACGTGGAACTTGATGATCTGAAAAGGTGGTGCCCCTTTGTTTGGGCCCAGGTGGACCCTGGGGAGCCCAGAGTACCCTGCCCAAGCCTGCTGCCCCCTCCCCCTACTTTGAGTCCCCAGCTCTGCAGCTTTGGATCACCAATGGGACCGAGCTGCTCCTCAGTGAGCCCTGGCTTTTCTTCCCAGCTTGGCCTCCGGCTGGAAAATGCAGAGAAAATCGTCCACAGGCTGTTTGGCGGGAAGTCATTCTGGGGGCAGGAAGAGGAGAGAGAGGCCCAGCCAGAGAAATCCCCAGAGCCAGAAGCAGGGCCCACACCACAGGCAGCCAGCCCTGACTGTCCAGGAGAAAGGTCCAGAAAGATGAGAGACCTGCAGCAGAAGGTAAGAGGAGGGGGGTACCTGCACCCACCCTGCTCCCACCCCTCACCAGCCTGAGCTTTTGGCCTGAGGACTCAGGCATCAATCAACTCTGACCCTGCCCACCCTCCCTCCCCCCGGTGCTCATAGAAACAAGTAGCTGGTCCAGAGCTGAATAGTCACCTGCCTTATCGTGAGAACGTATTGATCAAAGCATCATAGACAATTAGAAAAGCGTCCAAGTGCTAAGTGCATTTCCACCAACAGAACGCCTCCTTATAATCAATGCCCCGACCATTATCAGCACCCCAGAGGCCCCCTGCCCCTCCCTCTTCTAGTCTACCCACCCCAACCAAGGATGATCACTAATCTGCCTCCTAACTGCACTGATTTAGTTCTACTTTGTAAAAATCAGCTTTGTAGAGGTATGGTCTACTTTTAATAAGCAGTGTGAATTTAAAGTATACAGTTTGATAAGTTTGGACATATGTATGCACATTCATAATGATGAGCAACCACCACTTCTATCTAATTCTAAAACATTCTCATCACCCCAAAGGAGACCCTGTCCCCATTAACAGTCAGTTCCCATCCTGTCCTCCCCCAGCCCCTGGCAACCACTAATCTGCTTTGGGTCTCTCTGGATTGACCTGTTCTGGACATTTCATATAAATGGAATCAGACAACACGTGACCTGTTGTGTCCGGCGTCTCTCACTGAGCATGATGTTTTGAGACTCATCCATGTAGCGTGGATCGGTCCTCTATCCCTCTTGAGGACTGAATAACATTCCATGGTATGGATAGACTCCATTGTGTTTATCCACTCACCTGCTGATGGACATTCGTGTTGTTTCCACCTTTTGGCGAGTATGAATGATGCTACTCGTGTCGTTTTGTTCGTGTGTGTCTGGCTTCTTTGGCTTAAATTTTGTTGGTGACGATCCATCTATGCGGCTGTCTATATTCCTGCTTTGTTCATGCTCCCTGCTGTGCAGCATTCCATGGTATGAACATACCAGAATTTCTTTGTCCGTCCTACTTTTGGTGGACTTTTGGATAATTTCCAGTTTCTGGCTTATTGCAGGTAGTCCTATGAATATTCTTGCACATGTCTTTTTGGTGAAGGCGTGTACGTGTTTCGGCTGGGCATATGCCCAGGAATGGAGTTATTGGGTCGTGGGGTCCTTGAATATCCATTCTCTGGGTGGGGAGTTCTATTTTACGTGATTATTCTTCCATTGATGGACGTTTAGGTTGTTGGCACCCTTTGACTCTTGTAAGAAGTCATTGCTATGTACATCTGAGGGGGATCAAGGAGAGTGGCAGGGCATTTGCTGACGTGTTCACACCTTTACCAATCGTCAGGTGTGAACCCATAGGCCCAAGGACACAAAGATGGTCAGGACATGGTCTGTGCCCTTAAAGCCTCTTGGGCTAGAGCTGGGGCTGGCCAGCAACGAGAATGAGGTGGTGGACGGGGTCTGAAGACTTTTTTTTAGAATCTGCATCCTTTTTGTCTGTTATTTTCACACCTGGAATGGAGAGTCCTATCCCAAGATATATTTAGCACAAGCACAGCAATAGTGGTGACAGTGCTTGGTCTCAGTGTTGGAGGGGCAATAGGGAGTGGTGGGGACTGTGGCCGGTGGGAAATGCATGTGGCAGCCACCGTCCAGCTCTGGTTTCTTGCTGCCCCTTGTGGTGGTGGGGAAGGCAGGCCAGTACTTCTCTTTTTCGAGAAGCCAGACAATCTGGATTTTATGTGTAGTCACCTAATTATTAAACATTGGAAACAAATTCAAATTTTATTGTATATTGTTTTTTTAAAAGATTTTATGTATTTATTTAACAGTGAGAGACACAGCGAGAGAGAGAACACAGGCAGGGGTGTGGGAGAGGGAGAAGCAGGCTTCCCGCGGAGCAGGGAGTCTGATGCGGGGCTTGATCCCAGGACCCTGGGACCATGACCTGAACCGAAGGCAGACGCTTAACGACTGAGCCACCCAGGTGCCCACAAATTCAAATTTTAAAAAATATGCACTGTGAGGGACTCCTGGGTGGCTCAGTTGGTGGAACCATCTGCCTTCGGCTTGGGTCCTGATCTTGGGGTCCTGGGATCCAGCCCCGTGTTGGGCTCCCCGTTCAGTGGGGAGTCTGCCTCTCCCTCTACCCCTCCCCACTGCTCGTGCTTTCTCTGTCTCTCCAATAAATAAATAAAATCTTTAAAAATACACACTGTGAAAAATACGAAGAAGGACAAATGGTCACAGACCAGAGGAGACAGGAGAGACAGGACACGTTAATGCAGTGTGGTCCCTGGATTGGCTCCTGGAACAGAGGGAGAATTGGAATGGGGAAACGTGAAATCTGAATGTCTGGAGTTTTGTTAATAGTACATGTCCTTGCTGGCTTCTTTGCTTTCCCTGTGCCCTGGCCAGGAAAGATGCTGCCGATAGAGACAGAGCGAGGGGTGTGCGGGAGCTCTCTGTACCATCTTTGCAACTTTTCTGTAAATCTAAGAATATTCCCAAATAAGATGATGATGAGAACACGCACACCCACACACACTGCCCTGGGCATTTGGGCAGTAGCGTGCAGACCAAAGAAAACACATCCGTGGATTCTGCCTGAGGGCCATGAGTTTTGCAAGCCATGTTCCAGACACCAAAAGCCCTTGCCCTTGCCTTCTGCTCCCCCGGGCCCCCACCTGTGTCCAGGCACCAGACCTGCTTCTGGTCACTGGTCTGGGCTCTACCTCAGGTGGCCCAGAGGCGCACGGAGCGGCGGGCGCTGCAGTGTGAGCTGAGTGCGAAGGTGTTCGGGCACGAGCTGAGCTTCATGAACTGTGGGGTCCTGGGGAGCCACGTGACACGCCCGTCCTTGAACCTGGCCGAGCTATCAGTCAAGCTCCTGAAGGTACCTCAGGCTGGGCTCGGCCCCTCCCCACCCTGCTGGCCCCATGTTGTTTCCTTTGATGCTTTGGGGGGAAAGTACTAAAGAACGTTTCACACTTAAGACCATGGTATTTCGAGCCAGGCTGCCCAAGTTCAACCCGTGGCTCCACTTCTTACCTCCTTGGGAGCATTAACTTGTCATGGCCTTGGTTTGTGTGTCTATGAAATGGGCATGATAGCATAACAATAATGGTAGCAATAAAAGCAGCTACTTTATGGGGCTGTTGTGTTAAATGAGCTAATGCAGTAAAAATGCAACAAAGCCTTTAAAATGCACCTGGCACGTACTCAGTGCTCTGCATCATGGGCAAGGCCCACATTCCTCCTTATCTGACTCACCCTGGATCCCTGACCTCTGACCTTTTTCCGCAGTAAACTGCCTGGGTTTGAACTCCGCTCTACCTGTTTCTACCTACGTAGGTTTGGCCAGGTGATGTCATCTGTGGGCTCCGTTTTCTCATCTAGAAACAGGGCATAATGACGCTTTCGCTTCCTCTCCAACCACCTCGGTGTGAGGATCAAATAAGGTTGTGTGTGCTCAGTGCGCGCCTGGCCCACGCCAGGGGCTGTCACCTGCGTCATGACAGTTCTCTGGCCGCAGGGGCAGGAGGTACAGGTGACCCGGAGGCTGAACCTGGCAATGCAAGAGCTCACCTTTCCCACCATATCCGGCCTTCCAGCCCGGCTGAGCCTCAATGTCTCTGCCGCCATCAGCGTCCGAGTCCGAGGGACTGCCGACTTCCAGCAGCATCTGGATTTCTCTGTGCATGGCTACATCAAGCCCAGGTAGCTGGCTGGCTTCTTGGAGCTGGAGGAGGGAGGTGGGTGGGCGGGGGCCTCCCCCTACAGAGGGCCACAGGGAGCTGGGCCGTCAGCACGGGCTGGAGGGGATTCCTGCTCTGCAGACCATCCATGGTACCGTGGTACCATCCATCCTTTGATTGAGTGTTTTTTGTGCCAAGAGACTGTGAGGAGATGCTGGGCAGCTGTGCCCACTTGACAGGTGAGAAGACTGAGGCTCAGTGAAGTGACATCCTGTGCCCAAGATGCACAGCAGTGCCAGGCAGCTGGGACTCTAGTGTCTTGCCGCGAGCCATGCTTCCCTCTGTTCCACTCGGCCTCCGAGGGGAGGGGAGGAGGGAGGGAGGGAGGACCATTTAAGATGAACGGGCTGTGACTCCTTCGTACCCGCATAACTACCGATGAGGCAGACACTCCTCATATTCCCACGAGTGGCTGAGAAAACAGGCTCCAGGCCACCCAGCGTGGGCAGAGTGGGTTCAGGGCTCCGTCCGATTCTGGAGCGGGTCCGGGGCCTGCTGGGCGACTGTCCCCCACTCAGTTGGCCAGGCTGTGGTTTCTGGGTCCGATGTGGGGAGCGTGGGCACCCTATGCTGGCTGCTCTTTGGCACGAAGACCCCGGCTGGGGCTCAGGCAGCCCCCGGTCTCAGCCCTGCCGCCCCCATCCCGGCCAGGGGACCCGAGCAGGTGGTTTCGCTGCTCCCAGCCTGTGTCTGCGTCTGTAAGTTCAGGCCGATGATGGCGAGGTCCGGATGGACCGGATGGCATGGCTGGTGCGCTGGAGGGCGTGGTCCGCGGTGACTCGGGACTGGCTCGGGCCTGCGGAGAACAGCCGGGAGCGGCCGGGGCGGTGAGCATGGGCGTGCCGTGTGTGCGGCCCCCGGGCCTGCAGGCTGCAGCCAGCGCGCGGCTCTCCCCCCAGTGCCCTGCTCCAGGTCTCGGCGCAGATGGGCGCGGTGGGCGCCCTGGGCCAGGCCGGGCTGAGGTGGGTGACCGGCGTCCGTGGCACCGCCAGCCTGGATGGTGGGGTCCACGCGAGGAAGGGCCGGGACCTCAAGGTGCATCTGAACACTCCCGAGGAGGCCGTGGAGCTGCTCAGCTTCAGGTGGGCGTCCTGCACACGTGAGAGGGAGCCGGTGCGAGCGTGTGTGTACAAGCGAGGGCGGGTGCGAGCATGGGTGTGGCCCGAGGGCTTGTGCACGTGTGTCTGTGAGTGTGTGTATCTGTGAGACATGTGCATGATCGCCCATGTGTGAGCGTGAGCTTTGTATGAGTATATGTGACCTCGTGTGTCTGTGCATATAAGTGTGTGTGTGTGTGTGTGTGTCAGTGGGGGAGTGTCTGTGACAGGGACTGTGGGGTGGCTGAGAGTTGGAGGGGGGACCTCCCGTATTCCCCAGCTCTTTACAGGGGTCCCTCTTGGTTGTTCCCAGCCTCCCAGAAAGGTGAGAGTTGGAGAATGAGTTATTTCAGATGAAATAGGAGTGAAGCCAGGCTGCCCTCAGTCACACCTGCTTTGTCTCTGTTGTCCCACCCTAGCCAGGGGCACTCTGTCCTCTTGCTGTCCTCTAGGCCCTTCTCCCAGCAGCAGCTAGTGGGGTCCTTTAAAATGTCAAATCATGTCACTCCCTGCCCCCCCCCCACCTCTTTAAAATCCTCTACTTGTTTCTAGGATAACCCAGGTCTTCGTGATTGTCCTTCCTCATAGGGGTCCTGCCCACCTCTCACCTGTTTCCTTCCACTACCTCCTGCCCTTCACTCACTCCCTCTCCCTCCACCCTAACCCCCTTGAACCACCCTTCTTTTTGTTCTCCTAAAGAGACCACTTTATTCCCACCACAGGACCTTTGCACCTGCTGTTCCCTCTGTCTAGAATGCTGGCTCCTTCTTATCCTTTGAGTCTCTGCACGTGTTACCCTCTGCAGAGACTCCCCCCCCACCCCCAGGTAAAGGAGGCCTTGCCCTGTCCCCAAGACAGACCCTGTGCCACCCCCATTCAGGTTTGTCGTGGCACTTGTCACCGAGTGCTGTGGGTGAGTTCCCCAAAGGCCCGTCCTGTTCGTGGTGGAATTCGCCCTAGCACCAAACTGCGGCAGCTCAAGCCATATTTGTCCAATGAATCAATGAAAATGACTTGTCTGGGACGTTCCTCTTTTCTCACCCAGCTCTAAGCTGTATCTCGTCACCGGGGATGACGTGAGGAGCCTCAGGAATGTCCACCGCCCTTCTGAGGCCCAATCCTGTACTGACAAGAAAGGTAGGCCATGGGGTCTTTGCCTTTGCGGTCCCAGGTTGGGCGTCTGGGAGCCGAAGGGAGCAGTGCCAGCTCCAAATGCTGGAGTTGCTCTTCTGCCCTAAAAGTATTTATATTCCTTAATTCTTTGATTCTGCTTCTAGCACTTTACCCTATGAAAATAAACCAAAATCATTTTAAAATGCGCTGTGCACAAAGATGTTCACTGCATCGTTATTTACAAGGGCACAGTCATAGGTGAATGGCTCATTACATGAGCTTGCAACAGGTTGTTACATTTTCAGATGGTTGGAAAGTCATCAAAGAATATTTCATATGTGAAAAATTTGTGAAATTGATGTTACAATGGCCAGAAATAAAGTTTTATTGGCACATGGCCATGCCCATTTGTTTACCTAACGTCTTTGCCTGCTCTCGACAGTCAACAGCAGAGCTGAGTGGTTGCGACAGATCCTGTGATTAGCGAAGCCTCAGATATTTACTGTCTGGCCACGGATAGAAGAAAAATTCTCCAACTTCTAGTTTAGTGAACCCCCTGAGATATCCTGTAACTTTAAAACCCCATAGTGAAGGAGATATTTTGATAACACTAGAAAATTCTTTGATAGTAACATCGGGGGAAAGGCAACAAAATTGACACGAGGTTGGGAAGGAAATACACCAAACCGTGGTGGGTCTTGCGGGTCATTTTTTTGAGTAAGGTCGGGGAGGGGCCGCTCTCAATGAATGGACTCCTTTAGTTGGGGCACCATCCTAAACACGTCGGACGTGTCAGTCCTCACAGCTACACCTTGAGGCAGGAACTGTTACCCATCCCAGTTTACAGATGAGCAGCACTGAGGCACAGAGATGTTAAGCAATCTGCCCAAGGTCACACAGCTGGCAAGTGGCAGAGCTGGAATTTGGACCCAGGTGGTCTTACTCTGGAGCCTGCATTCTATACACTCATGCTCTTAAAGTCTACACCAGTGGTCCTCAAGCGGGGGTGGTTTTACCCGCCCCCCCACAGGGGCCATTTGGCCATGTGTGGAGACATTTGGGTTCTCCTAACTGTTGTTGGGGTGGCTAGTGACCTGCAGTGAGTGGAGCAGAGCGGCTCACCATCCTACAGGACGGCTCCCACCACAAAGCCTTATCCAGCCCAGAATGTCAGTGGTGCGGGGGTTGAGGGACTCTGGTCCACACTCTTCCCGCCTGGAATTCTCTGGCTCTCTGCTGACCAGAGCGGCCCACCCCGCTTTCTCCACAGCGTCCCACACCTGGGGCTGGCAGCTATGTACAGAAGTCACCTGGCCGGCCGCTGGTCAGCCCTACCTGCTCTCGGCGCCTGTGTTCGTGGCTGTGACACTGACGAAGAAGGACCGGGGCCTCCGACAGTATCTGCTGGAAGCTGCCTATACCTTCCATTCCCGGGTAGGCCCTGTGGAACGGCCCCTTCTTTCCCAGCCGAGCTGTGGGTCTCCCTAGGTCTTCTACTCTGGCATCAGCCTCATACGGATGTGGGGCTCCTCTCTGGAGCTGTTGGGCTGGGTGGGTCCTGCTGTGGTCTCCTTCCTGCCTCAGGACCCTTGCACATGCCCATCCTCTGGCTCTGGCTCTGTGACTTGTTAAGTCTGAATCAGTCTTCAAATCTCAGTTCAGGGGTCTGCTGCTCAGGGAAGCCTGCCTTGATTATCCCAAAGTGGTCATGTTCTTTTGTTACTTGCTCTAATAGGACCATGTTTTTTCCCTTTAGATCACTTTTATGTGTTTTTGTTTTGGGGGTTTTTTGTTTTTGTTTTGTTTTGTTTTGTTTTAGAGCAGGAGAGAGAGAAGGAGTGGGGGCAGAGGGAGAGATTCTTAACCAGGCTTCATGCCCAGCATGGAGCCCGATGCAGGGCTCAATCTCACAACTCTGAGATCATGACCTGAGCCGAAATTAAGAGTCAGAGGCTTAACCGACTGAACCACCCAGGCGCCCTGATCACTCTTATGTTTGTTACTTAAAGCTGCTTGACTATCAGTCTTCCCTCCTGGTCACTCACTTCCCAGGAAGAGCTTTAGCGCCTGTGTTTCTCACTCCTATGTCCTCAGCATCTGGCACAGAACGGGCATTCGACACCCTCCTATCTGATCTCCCAGTTTCTGCTCCTCTCCTTGCCATCTGTTGTCCCCCAGCAGCCAGACAGGTCTTCCTAAATCCTAAAAGGATCTTGTCCCTCCTCTGCTCCGAGTTCTCCGGTGGCTTCTATCACTCTGAGTAGGAGCCGGACACCCTGACCTGCTGGGCTGTCCTCCCCGTCTCCTGATTCTTTACGAGGCTTACCGCTCTCCACACACTGATGTCTTTTTTTTTTAATGCCAAGCACATTGCTGCTCCAGGACCTTTGCACTGGCTGTTTCCTCTGCTTGGAACACTTTCCCAGACACCCCCTTGGCTCTCTCTCTCTCTTCCTTCGCTTTCTGAAATACCACCTCCTCAGAGGCAGCCTTCCCTGACTACCCTGTCTGACCCCTTACTCCCACTGAGTTTATTAGCAGAGTACCCATCCCCAGGTGCTATGCTATCTACAGTTGTGTCTGGTGGTTCTGTGCTTCCCCTCTAGGATGTAGGTGCCATGAGGGTTCACATATTTGTGCATCTAACGGTCAGTCGCACTCCCTGTGCCTACAACTAGCCTCGCACAGAGCAGTGAACCTTTCCTGGTGGTGTAAGAATGCTCATCAATGCAGGGTCTTAAAGGGGGCTTGTGTCTTAGGCTGTGTTTTCCTTGAAGCGGACCTGAGCTAAGGATTTGGGTAAAAGTGATTGGTTAAGAAAAGTCTCCAGGAGGGCCCAGTATAAGAGGGTGGAGAAGTTAGGATAAGGAAGGGGAAGAACTGAGTTGGGGGGGGGGTGATGTCAGGTGAAGTGGCAGCCTCTGCCCAATCCCGGGGCGGGGGTGGCCCTGGAGCATGGGTTACGTCTCAGAGTGTGGTCCCCTTGAGGCTGAGGAGCTGGGCTAGTTTTTACTCCTATGAAACACAGAGGAGGGCAATGTTCTGGAGGCCCAGGTGCCAGGTGTTACCAGCAAAGCATGCGAAGGCTGAGACATAGGCACACAGAGCTGGCTAAGGGTTCCGAGGGGGTCTCTGCAGGGTGCCCGTGGTGCGTGCCATGCCTTGCGTCTCCCCAGGCTATTTGCCAGACAAAATGAGACCCTGTAGATGTGGTCCTGAGTTGTCCTGCAGGGCTTTGCTCTTCTCCAGGTACTGCCTGAGATCTCCAGATTCCCGGTTTGGTTCTTGTCTTGTGAGGCCAAGGAGGAGCCTAAGACCTCACGTTTTTGAATGGTGGGGCTGAGGGTCTTCTCCTGGGAAGAGGGAGAACTTTTGGAGCTGATGAGGTTCTCGAGACTGAGAAGTCTGCTCTGTTTTCAGAAGGACAGCTGGCTCCCTCAGGAAGCTTTGATTCACCTTTTCATGGGCACCCCCAAGTCAGAGGTGCCCAGGGATGTTGGGGTGGACATCAGGTACAGCTTGCCCCAGGGGAAGTTCCGGCTCAAGCTTCTACATCCCAAGAAGAAAATGCAGCTGGATGGTAACGAGTGTCCCCTTCATGGCCGCTGGGGCTCAGAGATAAGAAACCTGGTGGGAGGTCGTCCTGTGGGGAAGACGGGCGGAGGTTAAACCCTGGTCCTTAACTCTTGTTTTGTTCCCCAGGAAAGATTGAGACTCTTCAGAGTGCCCGGGTGGGTCACCTGGAGCTGATACTGGATGACAGGGACGTCTACTACATTAAGGTTTGTCGCACATCCTCAGGCCTCCTGTGTTGGCACCTGCCACCTTCCAGCCTCTTTCAGCCTCAGTCCCACGGTCCCTGCTTAAAATAGTCAACATCACTATTGGTGTGTTAGTGGTTCTTACCCTTCCTCCTACTGTAACATTTGTGACCTCTTGGTGCTCAGAAATGTATAAAGAAGGAAAAAGTGGGCTCGAACCTCACTACCATTTAGGTGAAAAATTGACGATATTAGTAATACAGGAGCATGCATGAAACTCAGTGGAAACGGGCAAGTTAAAGCACAGTACTCCCCGATTTTCCAGAAGAAATGGCTGTGTATGTCCCACGTAATCTGTGTTAGTACCTCGGGGCTGTTCTAACAGAGTACCCCAAATTGGGTGGCTGAAACACCAGAAATTTCTCCTGCACAGCCCTGGAGGCCAGAAGTCCCAAATCAAGGTGTTGGCAGGGGTGGTTCCTTGGGAGGCAGGGAGGGAGACACTATTGTGTGCCTCGGGCGTTCCTTGGCCTCTAGCATCTTTTCCCTGTCTTCACATTGTCTTCCTCTTTCTGGGTCCAGATTGCCTGTTTCTTTAAGGACACCAGTCATACCGGACCAGGACCCACCCTCACAACCTTGTCTTTTTTTAAGATTATTTATTTATTTATTTGACAGAGAGAGAGATAGCGAGAGCAGGAACACAAGCAGGGGGAGTGGGAGAGGGAGAAGCAGGCTCCCCGCTGAGCAAGGATCCTGATGCGGGGCTCGATCCCAGAACCCTGGGATCATGACCCAAGCCGAAGGCAGACGCTTAATGACTGAGCCATCCAGGCGCCCCCACAACCTTGTCTCGTCTTGATCATTTGCAAAGACCCTATTTCCAAATAAGGTCCCATTCATAGATACTAGGGGTTAGGTCTTCAACATCTTTTGAGGGGACATGATACAACCCATGATGCTATAGATTTGACATACCTTTTACTTTTGCGTTTTGTTTTTTGTGGGTATTTGTTTTACACGAAAAGATCACAACCTTTTCTTTGTTGGCACTTTTTTCCCTACTTGAAAATCTACCTTGACAAACTTTTTGTGACAGCACAAATTGCGAGTACAACTTAAATTTTATTGTGTTAAAAAAAATAAGTGATACGTTTAAATAATTAAGTTCAAAGGATATGAAAAGGTATAGAACCGAGTGTCCCACCCGAATAGTAGAGCACGTGGCTATTTAAATAAGGATTAAAGAGAAACACGCCATTCCCCAGTGGCACTAACCACTTGCCAAGAACGTTTCCATCCTTGCGGAAAGTTCTGTTGGTCAGCACAGATCTAGAATTGAAAACTCTCCCCCAGAGCCAACCACTGTTTGGTTTTAGTGTGTGTGACTCTTCTCAGAGGGACATTCTTAGCAGTGGAATTCCCAGAGCAAAGGGTGCATGCATTTTTCTCTTAGAAGCTACTTTTGAAGGTTCTTCACCAGGGGTCCCTGGATGGGACTCAGCGGGGCCGTTGAGGTCCCTACAATTGTGCGCAAGTTTTGTGTCTGTCTGTCCGCCCTGCTGGAGAGAGGCTTCAGACCTCCCATCTGATGTTCAACCTGGTCTGGATGAAAACGGCAGTTTTAGCCTTGCTCCCGCCAAGCAGGACATCCAGGCACCGGTGGCGTTGGGTCTGGCCTGTCCACCTGGGTCTCCGGGGGCTTCTCAGGTCTGCCTTTGAGACTCCACAGCCAGGGCTGGGATTTTGCTGCACAAACACACTCTCCACCCTCAGATCCGCTTCCTTCCCCTGGGTGGGGAGAACACCAAGTGTCTGGGGAGAGCGCCTTCCTCCTAAAGCCCCAGCTGCTTGACTCCTGAGGCTACAGATCATTGCCAAACTCCCAGGAGCCCGCCAGCCTCCTCTGGTTGTTTGCTAAATGCCCAAGTGCTAATTGCTTCCATTTTCCAGCAGACCTTCCCGCCGCTCTCCAGAGGGCTATCTGCAGCCTGCAAACATTTGCTTTTAGACACCTTCCAGTTTCAGCTGCCTCAGATGCATGACAGCAATGGGAACAGCGGGGTTCTGGAAATTTCCAAAGCCTGTTCTCAGGGGGCCATGGATAGCCTTGGGCTCAGAGGCCCACCTTCAGTCCTCTCAGCAAGCCCATATGAGATGAAGACACCCAGGCAGAGCAGCTTGGAAATACAAAGCAGCAGATCTGGGTTCAACCCAGCTCAAAGCCTGTGAGGCTTAGGAATGGCGTGCGGGAGCGTGTGGCTTTCAGTGCTTCCTCCCGGTGTGCAGGGAAGTCCCAGGCTGCCCGGGGAGCCCCGGTTTCCCATCGACCTGGCTCAATGTGACTAGTGCACTCTTCATCTGCTAAGGGGCCTGGTTTGGATGAAATATTCCATAATCATTCTCTTCACGGGCTGCACTTGGCTAACGCCAGGCAGCCTCTGATATTGACAATGTAAAACCATCACCAAGACACCCCTTAAAGTGAGAGAAGCAGGGCAGAATGGAGAGCCTACATCTGTTTTTGTGAAAAGCAGGAGGGAGCTTATAAGTCTATGCTTCTGTGCACACATGTGCCTGAATGCACATGAACACGCACACACATACACACACACACACAGTCGTATACGTCCTTCCTTCCCCAGGTGCAGGGAAGACCAAACGTCAGGGATTCTGAGAACGCCTTCCTCTTAGAGCCCCAGCTTTCTGGAGGATGCACAAGAAGCTGGGCACAGTGGCTGCCCCTGAGGGAGATGGGGAGACTAAGGACGGGATTGAAACCTGTATTTTTCAGTGTCTTCGTTTTTTTTTTTTCAACAACTATTTATCTAGTACCTAGAGTGTGCCAGGTACTGGGAAGAGAGCTCAGTGAAAGAGACACAATTTTCTCCTCTTGGAGCTTACGCTGTAATGGGAGAGACAATAAATGAAATAAATGAGCAAATTGTACGGTGATAGGTGGGTATATGTGCTGTAGGAAAAGGAAATCTTTGAGCTGGGCACAGGGGTCTGAGGTTATGTGAGAAGGGTCTGGGGGTTGGCTTCAGTTTTAAATAGGATGGGAAAGGAAGCCTGATGGAGAGGATGTGCAGAAGAGAGCCATGGGTTCTTTGGGGGAAAGGATTTCGGGTAAAGGATGCAGCATGTGCAAAGGTCCTGAGGTGATAATTTGCCCAGAGGGTTAATAGCACAGTACTCAGGCTCATGTGTTTGGAGCAGAATAGGAGAGGGGACAGAAAGATGGGGGGATAGATCACGTAAGGCCTTCCAAAAGAGGAATCAGAAGAGAGCAAATCGTGACTGCCAAGAAACAAAGGCAAAAACGGGATTTCGAGAGTGCCTAAAATAGTGGACAGTCTGGGAATGGTGGGGTCGGTTTTACATCTTCGGGGTGAGCGCATCAGCGGGCAGTTAGCAGAGAGGTCTGTTGGATTGGTCTACAGTTGGCAGCGGCAGTCAGCGATGACAGTTGCAGTCGCTTATGGGTTCTCCAGAAAATCTCCAGCACCGTGACTTGTAGCGTGTGTTTTGGGCTGTCCGTGTGTCCTGCCTGCCAGTATCCTCCCACGGGCAGTCCCTTCGGCCAGGTCTGCACTGCTCACTTCCAGAGAAAGCCTCAGCCTTGTTGGCCTTTGCAAGGACTTTGACTTTTACCCTGAGGTAGACAAGTGTGTATGATCCTATGTGTCTCAAAGGGGTCACTCTGGTGGGGAACAGACATCAGGGCCCCGGGGGGGGAGCCGGGACAGCCGGGACGAGGATGCGGGGGTGACACAGGTGCTGATGGCCCACGTGGTCAGATCCCAGAATGTTCTGCAGAGAGAACTGGCCCAGAGCTGGCTGACGAGAGGGGCGGGGGGTGTCCTTCACATTTACATCTGAACTTATAACAGGGACTACCTACTTTGAAAAAGGTCAAGTTGAAGAAATTGGAGAAGGACCAGCCAAAAAGGCCATTAGTTAAGCTCTGTCCTCTGTCCAGTCTCCGTTCTTATGGGCAGAGCCAGGCCCGCTGGCCGAGCACCCCCACCGCCCCCAGGTGATGCTGGGGTCTTTTCAGGGCCGGAGTGACCTGTGGCCAGCAGCTGGGGGCGAGGCCCAGCGGTGTGAGGTCCAGCTGGAGGTGAAACTCGTGACAGCAGGGAGTCCTGTGGTCCTCATGGGGAACCTCAGCCAGCAGACCGGCAGCAAGTTGGCCTTCTCCGTGTCACTGAGCAACCTGCTGAGCGACCAGGCCCACCTGTCAGGTAGGAAGAGGGACCCCCTGCTGCCACTCCCTCTTTTCAGTGGGCAAGGCTACTGGAGGGGGAGGACTGAGTAGCCCACATGGAGTCTCTGTCCCCTCTACCTGGCTGTATTAACATCCCACCCCAGGGAAAAATCCAGTCTCCATATCTGTTCACAACTTCCCTTCGGTCCCCCAGAGGCTCCCCCCAACACTGACTGCCTAAGTTGCACAAGGCACAGTTTAAACCTTAAACACATCGCCTGGCCTGGGCATGGCCGGTCTGGCAAATGCCCGCCCGGATGCCAGAGCTGGGGTGTGGCCCCCTAGCTATGCTCCTCGTGGGTTGTTCTGGGAGATTCCAAGGGAACGATGTCAGGGGCTGGGGCTGCTGGCCACCTGGTGTGGGCACTTTGGGTATTGTTGCGGGCCCTGCTATACCCGTGTGACCTGGCTGAATGTCCATGTGGCAGGAGCAACTTTCAGAAGGTGAGGTTTACCAGATGGCCTAGAAGGCACTCATTTCCCTTCTGTTCTATTTTGTTTTGTTCTACTTTATTTAAATGTTTTGGCCTAAACCCACAAAAGTGACTTTTGGGCCACCGACAGTGGCCACCAAGTAACACTGTGAGCACTCGGACACCAAGGTTCCTTGGCAGAGACTCGGGCACGGGTTCCACCAGGACCCCCCATCCCCGGGCCCCCTGGGCGGTTCCCATTTCCTTGCCTTGCCTGGTGCTGGGGTGGGGTGTCAGTCCCGGGGTGTGGGCCACGACCACTCCACACCTGCCCCTCTCACTGCCTACCCCCCACGCAGTGCTGCTGGAGAAGGCGGTGGAGGATGGGCTGCAGGTGGTGGCCCTGGGCGGCGAGCTCTCTGTGCCCGGTTTCGTGGGACTGCACCTCGTGGGCCTCCTACAGAGGCACAGCCGCCTCTGGACCAGCTCCCTGAGGATCAAGTACGGCCTTCTGGGTACGGCGCCGCATGCCAGGCTGGGGGCGAGGTGGGAGGGGGCAGGACCCGCAGCATCTCCAGGGCTCTGGCTCTGAGGGCCAAGGTGCCACCTTGTCACCTTGTCTTGCCCTCACCACACTCTTCCTTAGCCACTGAACACCTGCCAGTTAAAAAAAAAAAAAAAAGCTGTGTGTGTGTTTGGGGGAACATAAGCCTGTCTTTTATTTATTTATTT